GTCCCTGTCTGAAACTGTAGAGAGCTGCGGCCAATCGGTGTCGAAACTACTGAGATGGACCAGTAGTCTGAGCTGGCATATATTCCGATTAACAGGGAGCCCTGGAACTTATAATGGTGGTGGGACAATGAAGACAGTTCAGAGGAGGAAGGGGGTGGTGGTGAACAAGCAACAGGCTTGAGTGAGAAGGACGGAAGACACTGCAGACACAGAACAGGCAGCTGAGGAGGAGGTGGGGCGGAAGCTGTGACAGATTCACAGGAGCTGGCAGGTCCTACTGTGTTTAGCTCTCCTGCTGTGATGGCCTGGGATTCGGACTCGGAGGCTGAACCTGAGGAATCCCAGCCAGAGGCTGAAACTGAGGAATCCAAGCCAGAGGCTGAACCTGAGGAGTCCCTGCCTCCAGAACCAGCTGAGCTGGGGCTGGGGCCTGAGACTGAAGGGTCCTCACCTGTGCTGGATCCTCAGGTGCAGGCACCAGCTGAGTCTGCTCTGGCCCCTGAGGTGATGGAGGACCCATTGTCTGCAGATGCTCCACTCTCAGCCCCATCAGGGGAAGAGGAGGTTGCCTCTGGGTCCGGTAACCCTCCAGCCTCTCCTGAGCTGCAGAGGCTCAGGGCAGAGAGGCGGAGGGAACTAATTTTCCCGCAGGAGGAGTGCTCGCCTCCAGGCCAGGAGAGGCGAGTCACCTGTGGACTGGGGCCGCCCTATGCCTCGGGGCAGACAAAAGCCAGTCAGCCCCAGTCCCAGGTCGCTGGAGCAACGTTGTTGCTAGCCTGTTCCTGCCTGCACCCTGTCCTGCTCTTCTGCCAGAGTTCCTGACCCCACCCAGCTCCCCGCCTTGGACCCAGCTACAGCTTTGATGGACAGCCTCCATACTGCACCATCGACCTCGGACTGGACTCGGACCTCGCCTCTTGGTTAGCCCCCCCGGGACTGGCAAACCTGCCCTCTTGTCTCCAAGGACTCGGAAGGTTTTGCATGCTAGAGCAGAAAGCTCAGAGGGCCCCTCCCCAGCCAGACAGCCAGACAGACAGGGAGGAGGCTTAGGACAAAGTGGGAGACCCTGATCGTCAGTTCTGTCAACATCATTACTGGGGCCAGTTGTGCCATAGGTTTCTCCGTGTATATTCTGTTTCCTTGAATAAAGAATTAACTTCACTATTCATCTCTGAGTCTCCGTGCTGACCTGCAGCTGAACCAGCCCTGACAATCCTCACCTGCAGAAGATCCAGGTGTCCCAATCCCACAGAACCCTAAATGTGAGGAAGTGCTCATGTGCTGGCCTTTCAATACAGACAACCTCATGCACCATTCGGTTGTTCAAAAAAAGGATGGCCTGATTCAAAGGGTAGGACTTGAGCCACAATACTCTTCTAGTCTGTACTTGGTTATGCCCTATAAATGAATAAGGTGTGCATGGGGCTACCGCTTTTTAAAAGTTCCCTTTGGAATGATGCACCCAAACCTATGTATTTTTTCTTTCAGTGGAAAAGAATTAAGTATGTGCTCAAAACACGTGACTTCAGCAATTAACGGCATTCGCATCTGAACACTGACAGTCTCCAGTGAAATTTGTGAATGTCCAAAAAACTAGAAACACAGCGGTGGATGTTGTGACAGCTATGTGTGAATACCATCACCCGCTAGTGAAACTAAATCTGGCAAGTGGGGAAATAAGTATTTTATTTTTGGATAAATGCAGAAATGTGCCTGGGATTGTCAGCCTTCACACATCATTGTCAACACTCACCAGATTGTGAACATTTACTGTAAAAAAACACACGCACACTCACTTTAATTTTAGGAGAAGAAAATGCCAGTCTCCTCTCTGATGTAGTCTCTCACTGCTGGTTTGTTCATTGAGATGGTGTGCTCTATTTTAGTTAATCTTGGCATTTGCACAGTCCCCTGGCTTTACAGACGAGCCAACTGCATGATTTGCTCACCGACTCTGCTCACAGCTTTTGAATTCTGCGAAGGCACCATTTGCAACAGAATAGATGGGAGTAGGGACAGTGGCTCTTTCATTATTCCATTTGAGCCGCTCAGATAATAGGCATTGATTTCGATTAACTACAGGAGACTGCAGAGGAGGAGGAGGAAATACTAGAGATGAAGTTCTGCCCAAATAGTTCCAGTCTTCCCTCAATGGGCTCATTGTGCGAAGAATGGAGTTACTTGAAATCATAAGGTTCCCTGGAAATGGGAATTGTGCAGGGATATATTTCTATACAGCTGCCTTATCCCAGCTCCTTACTGCGTTCTGTAAGAGGCTTAACCCCAGGAGGAAAATATGTCTGTGTTGTTGGGGGACACCATGAGATTGGCCATAGTAAGGCAGTACCATTATCAAGAACAAACCAAAATGGTGGGCAAGCTTTTGAGTTCACCAGAACTTTGCAAACGCTTTGTCAAGCAAAGTGGGGAGCTGCCTTCTTGTTGAATTCATTAAGTCTGAATTCTTCCGGAGCCAACACAGCTCTATGTAGGCGAAAGGTTCCTTACAACCCAGCCAAGCGATTTGCTGCCAGCTGAAGACCTCTCGTATGAGCAAACCCTTTATGCACTGTCTAATCTCCTTCAGTGGAAGTGCGGTTCCTCTATTTAAGGCTGCAGACGAGCTTTTAAGTGTTTTCTAAGCGTCAAATTACACATGGCAAAGTGTGCAATCTGGTGGAGCCATAGCCAGGGGCAGACCTTGGGGTCTCAAATTTCAGTGGCGCCCTGGGTAACGTCAAAATTTGGTGACACCCCCCCTACCTCTTGCCATAGCCAACCCCAGCTCTGAAAGGTTGCATGGTATCCATGCATGGAAACACAGCTCAGTTCCGTTAATGCTTTGCTATCTTGTTTGCAACTCTGAGCCCCTTCACAAGGAAGGGCAGGAGAAAAAATTAACAAGTACTATTAATACTAAATAATTGTGTGAAATATACTTGGAGTCGAGAGTGGATTTCATGCTCTTTATTCAGCTAATAGTGGTGAGGAGGAATGGAAGTTCCCCCAGAATGTCTGCCTTATATACATTATTTACACAATGGGCCCCACGTGATTGGCTAATTCCGGGATTCTCCTGTAGGCCAATCAGGTTGCGGGTTCCCTTCCACCTGGAGCTGGATTGGGTGGCTCCTGTGGACCAATCAGATTGCTGCATTCTGGATCCTATTGTTTTAGGACCAATCAGACTGCTGCATCCTGAATCCTATTGTTTTAGGACCAATCAGACTGCTGCATTCTGGATCCTATTGTTCTAGGACCAATCAGACTGCTGCATTCTGAATCCTATTGTTCTAGGACCAATCAGACTGCTGCCTTTTGGATCCTATTCAACTCAGTACATAACGTCATGCATACGGGGTGTGCATGTAAAACCTCATCCCGAAGGCGGCCCTCCAAGCCTGTTTCACTGGCCCTCAAAACTCTCCTTAGGCCACACCACCTCCACACCCCTATTGGCCTTTCTTCACAGCCTCTGAGTATTCGTATCCATCTAGCATTCTATCAACAGGGGGGAGGATGGGAAACCTTCTGTATTCATTTTGTTTCAGGCCGAAAGAAGCGTGCAGAGCTGGTTTTTAACAGGAATAAATCACCACTACAGCGGTGCCTTGTGAGGAAATATGAAGGTTATGGAACAGAAAGGCTGGCTTGACATTCGCTGCAAGGGGTAAGTATTTCATAAGGAAAAAGAAAAGGGGGGGGGACACACCACCCAGTTTTGAGAGTGGCATTGTTCCAAGGTAAACTAGGTTAGCCACCATTTTCTTTCCCACTTCCCTTGTAGCAACACCTCCTTTCCCTCCCACCTCCCCCAAAGTGGTCTGGGAACCCAGACTGTGTTAGATCAAGGCAGACATCATGAAAAATAACCAGGACATGCCTTTTGAGGTAGCTGTGACTCTTTCTGAAGCGAACAGATGCAAACGGGAATTGCCAGCTCTCTCCGTTCCAATGGCAACAAACCTGCCTGAAGCCTGGCAGCTGGTCCTGCACTCAACGTCCGTGGCCCATCTGTAAATAAAATGCATTCAAACAAAAATACATTTCTTCTCAGCGACCTCGTGAAAGATGCCTAACTCATAAACAGAGAAAACGAAACCTTTTCTTTTTTAAAAAAAGCTGGATATAACCTATATGATTTGGGAAGGATTTCTGAAGATTCATGTTTATGAATGAGATGGGATATTCTTATATATGGCATGTCTGCCCAGATAGCTCAATTGGTTAGAGCATAGTGCTGTAAATGCCAAGGTTGCAAGTTTGATCCCCTTATGGGGCAGCTGCATTGCAGGGGGTTGGACTAGATCAGTGTTTCCCAACTGGGAGCCCCAGGATATTCCAAGGGGCCCCCAGGTGCAAAATGCATAAATGAGGAACCACAGCATGAGGTTAGAGGGCCACAGAGGGAAGTGGAGGGGGGGATAATATATATTTTTTAAAAGAATCTTGATTGGCTATCCACTTGGCCAATCACAAGTGGGTAAGGGGGTGGCCCACCAGGGCCTAGCACTCCTTTATGCCACTTGAGTTTTCCTGGAGCAGTCCTGGTTTGTTTCCGGCGGAAGATGGTGATCGCTGAGGCTCCCGTTTTGACCAGTAGAGCCCGTAATCCATAACCCCCAGGTCAAGTAAGTGCGGTGGTGTTAAATAGTGGGTAGACATAGCAGACGACACAGCGATTCTTCCAAAGCAGCTCTTTATTTGTAAGCTGGACAGAACTGAACAGCAAACAGCTCAGCTGACCTGCTTTTATAGGCAGCCAGCTGTCAACAATGTAGCAACAACAACCCAGGGTTTCCCGCCTAAAATAACTGACGTGGACCTGAGTGAAAACTACATACACAATACTCCTGGTGGCCAGGGTGAGAACTTCAATACATAACACCCCTCCCCACCGAGATAAGGCATTAGTTACAATCGTAATGGTTTCCTTATATACAGCACTACACGTAATGGTTCAATTAGGCACAAAAGCATATCGGTTACATTTCCCATACTTAGACCAACAGTGATACATGTCCAACAACATAGTCCTTTAAATAAGTTGGGCGCTTGGAAACTCTGCCAGACCACCGGGGACTGGTAGCCAAGTCCGGGGGGCCACACAATTCTTGCTGAGGCTGTGGTGCGACCCTAGGTGGCATTGAAACCAAATCCCCTGGATCCGCTGCTGTGGGTGGAGCCTCCGCAAGTGGAGTGGTCTGAGCCTGTGGTAAGTCTGGCAGACCCTCTGAAGCGGCTTGGTTCGGCTCCACGCTGGCAGTTTGCGAGGGAGGTGTAGGTGGAGCCTCGCCATCTGTAAGTGTCTCTTCAGTTGGGGGCACCACGGTAGTGTCCAAGTCCCCAACCCTGCACCTAAGCTGGTCTATGTGCCAGCGCCACAAGCGTCCGTCTTCGAGTGCTACCTGGTATGAGCGAGGTCCAGTGACTCCCACTACTGTGGCTGGCACCCAAGGAATGTCCCCCACATAGTTCCGGGCAAAGACCTGGTTTCCTGGAACAAATGACCGTGGCGTGTTGGCACAGCCTGGGGGTTCGGCCACGGCAAAGTCCGGGTGCAGCCGGTCGAGCGGTGACCTGAGGCAGCGGCCCATAAGCAGTTCAGCAGGACTCCGCCCTGTGGCCGCATGAGGGGTGATGTGTTGCACGAACAAGTATTCGGCGACCCGCTCGTGCCAGTCTCCCTGGTCCAGGCGCGCCAGTGTCTCTTTTGCCGAGCGCACCATTCTCTCCGCTTGCCCGTTGCTGGATAGATGAAATGGTGCCGTTAGGGCATGGTGGATGCCCAATCCTAAAAGATACCACTCAAAAGTGCCTGACGTGAACTGCGGTCCGTTGTCAGAGACAATGACATCAGGACACCCATGTGTCGCAAACAGGCCTCACAGCACCCGGATGATGGCCTCGGTAGGGGTGGAGGGCATCAGGGCCACCTCCAGCCATTTGGAATAGGCGTCCACCACTACCATAAAGGTCCGGCCGTGAAAGGGGCCAGCCAGATCAATGTGCACCCTTGACCAGGGTGTCTTTGGCATCTCTCAGGAGTGTCCCTTAGCTGCCGGTGGTGCAGGCCTCGATTCTTGGCACGCTTGACAGGCGGACACCCAGACAGTGATGGCATCGTCCATGTTAGGCCACCAGACGTAACACCAAGCCAACGCCTTCATTTTGACAATTCCCGGGTGGCCAACGTGCAGAGCCTCCAGGACGCGTTGACGGAGTCTTTGAGGAATCACGACGCGGTCTCCCCACAGCAGACAGCCGCGATGAGCCGATAGTTCATGTTGTCTGGTTGCGAAGGGCTGGAACTCTGATGCAAAAGGCCCTTGTGGCCACCCCCTCCACACCCAGTTGAGCACACGGCTGATGGTGCGATCCTGGGCAGATGCGGAGGCCACAGTGGCAGCCGAGACAGGCGCTGCTGGAAGATCCTCAATCAGGAGGAGTGATGAAGCTGGAGCCGGGTCTTCCACAAACACTGAAAGAGGGCAAAGGCTGAGGGCGTCGGCATGGCCCATCGATTTCCCCGGGTGATGGACGAGCCGGTAGTGGTAGGCAGCCAGGAAAACAGCTTTTCTTGGCAGACTGGAGTGAAGACTTGGACTTGTGAGTCGGTGAAGGGGGGGGTGTCAGACGGAGCCGATCGGCAGACCTTAGCGATGTGGCCCCTTCTGGAACACTTCCGACAGATGGTGTCTCTGAATCGACACTTGGCACGGGAATGGTTGCCTCCGCAGCCGGCACATTCCGGTTGGCCCTTGGACTTCTGTTGGAACTTCCTGCGCTCCCGCTTTGTCTGGTGCACGTCATCGTCTTCGCTGGAGGATGCCTCATCACTGCTGGCCTCTTCGTGGTGCACTGGAACTGGCTTCCTAGCAAGACGCGGGCTGCTGGACTTGCGGATCTCCTGGGGGGAGCGTTCATCAGCTTCTGAGGCCACAGCCTCCTCAATGGCTTTCTGTAGCGTGAGGTCTGGCTTGGCGAGGAGACGCCGTTGCAGATGGATGTCCCGGACCCCGCAGACGATTCGATCCATCAGGGCATCGTCTAAGTCTCAGAACTCGCAGTGCATTGCAGCCTGTCGCAGGGCGGTGGTGTAGTTGTTGATTGACTCCCCCTCTGCCTGGTTCCGGTGGTAAAACGCATGGCGGGCAGCAATCTTGGACGGCTTTGGCGTGTAGTGGTTGCGGAGCTTCTCTTGGATCGTGTCCCATGGTGTTGCCTGGACTGCTTCAGGCGCAACCAATGCTCGGGCCGTTTCAAACACCTCAGGCCCACAGAGGCTGAGGAATAGGCCCCGCTTCCGTTCCTTTGATACTGCTGTCAGCTCGTTGGCTTGGAGGTAGCAGTCAAACCGAGCGAGGTAGGAGTCCCATGATTCAGAGGCTGGCTCAAACGGCGGTAGAGGCACAAGTGAAGCCATGATTCTGATGCCGGCGTGAAGGGTGATAGATGGAACACAGTGCTCTAGCCAGAACAGTCAGCTCTGAATTGGTTCTGTCCAGTGATTTCGCTCAGTGATTTCGCTCAGTGATTCAGCTCAGTGATTCAGCTCAGTTCAGAGGATGGCCGCATCTGGCTGTGCTCGGATGTCCATCGATCCCATCCTCGTCGCCAGTGTTAAGTAGTGGGTAGACATAGCAGATGACACAGCGATTCTTCCAAAGCAGCTCTTTATTTGTAAGCTGGACAGAACTGAACAGCAAACAGCTCAGCCGGCCTGCTTTTATAGGCAGCCAGCTGTCAACAATATAGCAACAACAACCCAGGGTTTCCCGCCTAAAATAACTGACGTGGACCTGAGTGAAAACTACATACACAATACTCCTGGTGGCCAGGGTGAGAACTTCAATACATAACAGGTGGTGGGGTGGCAATGGGTAGGGCTGGGAGAGCCAGAGCTGCTTATTGCTGCTGCCAGTGCTAGGCCCGGTGGCAGCCTGGGCCTGACTCTGCAAGGTGCAGGGTTCAATCTACCCCAGCGCCTAGCACAGGGGTCAGCAAACTTACCGTGCCTCGGGCCGGTGTCTCCAGCACCAATCATGCGGCGGGCCGGAGGGCGGGGGAGCGCATGCCCAAACGCATGCGCACACACTATTTCTGGCACACTTCCGGGTCAGAGGAGCACCAGAAATAGCTTGTGCGCATGTGCATGTGCCTCCGACCCGAATGTGCACTGGAAATAACGCTTGCGCATGAGCAAATAACACTTGCGCATGCGCACAAGCTATTTTCGGAGCTCCTCCGACCCGGAAGTGGGCAGCCGTGCAGCGCAGCGCCGGTAAGAGTGGGTGGTGGGGGTTGCCACGGGCCAGATAAATGAGTCCCTCAGACCTTATCCGGCCTGCGGGCCTTAGTTTGGAGACCCCTTGGCCTATAAAGGACTGGATGTGGATATTGAAAAGTGATTTGTGAAGTAGAAAGTCAGGAACACAGGGAAGGCCAGTGAGGTTGAAAATGTACAGTGGTACCTCTGTTTATGAACGCTTCTGGTTACAAACGCTTCAGGTTATGAGCTCCTCTAACCTAGAAGTAGCTGCTCCTGGTTGCGAACTTTGCCCCAGGATGCGAACGAAAATCGCGTGCCAGGAGGCCCCGTTAGCAAAAGCGTGCCTCAGGATAAGAACAGTTTCAGCTTAAGAACGGACCTCCAGAACGAATTAAGTTCGTAACCAGAGGTACCACTGTATGTATCTTGTGTTGATCTGAAAATAGCTGGCCGAATATTTCCTTGCACGCCCTTAACTTCAAACAGGAGTGTGGTACAGTAGTTAGAGTACAGATGTCCATAGCCTTCCAGAGGTTGTTGCACCACATTAAAAGCACGGTAAAAGATCAAACATTAAAAACTTCCTTAAACATGGCTGCTTTCAGATGTCTTCCAAAAGTCAGATAGTTGTTTATTTCCTTTACACCTGATGGGAGGGCGTTCCACAGGGCAGGCGCCACTACCAAGAAGGCCCTCTTCCTGGTTCCCTGTAACCTCACTTCTCGCAGTGAGGGAACCACCAGAAAATCCTTGGCGCTGGACCTCAGTGTCTGGGCTGAACAATGGAGGTGGAGATGCTTCTTCAGGTATACTGAGCCGTTGGCTATTCTGGTTGGGTCTGGTGGTGGCAGTTGGAGTCCAGCAACATGGGAATCACCACAAGTTCCCTGTCCCTGAATTGGACTTTCTGCTGTTTGGTTGTAAGTTGCTTTGGGCTGCCCTGGGCAATATATAGCAGCTAACAAATTCAGTAAATAATAATAATAATAATAATAATAATAATAATAATAATAATAATAATGGCTTTTTTTATGCAAACAAATGAATTTTTGAATGCCAAACTTATTCACAAAGTAATTTTGTCCCTTTCCAAATTGGTACCAGCTGCACAGGATTTACAACTGTGCTGAGGAAGCTGAGGGGAAATTATTTTGACTAGATTTTTAAAAATAAAATCCAAAACAGCATTTGCTGTGAAGAGCCTTAAGTGATGAAAGGCTATTGTCGTTTCCCGCCTCCATGAGGTTTTATATGAGCAGCCCTATATGGTTCAGACAGGATATTCGTTAATGCCTCCAGCAACGGTAACATTCTGGAAACCGGTTTGCTTGATACCACTTTCAAAAATAATAATAATAAAAGCCTGCTTTGTCTTTTCCTCATTCTTTACTTCTTGTTTCGCTCTGATGAGTCAGATCTTTGAGCACTTTTAACTGCAGAAGGCAAGTGTGATGTTCCCAAGCAGTAAACAAACTTGAATGTGTATCAAATGATTCCATTTGGTTGGGAGATGTCAATGCAGTTTATCCCCAAAATCTTCCCACTTCCAATGGCTTCTTTTTGCTGATGTCAGTAGAAATACATTTCAGCATGGTTAGGCATCTGCCAGGAGACCACAATTCAAGGCCCTAGTTTCAAGAGATTCCTGGACAAGCAGCAGTGAGAAGATAGACTTGGGAGAGAGAGGAAGACCATGTCTTGCCAAAGCCCTACCACCATAAGCAGAAAAGTCTAATTTTAACCATCAATCCTTCTAAAAATTGTAGCTCTGTGAAGGGAATGGGGTATCCCAGCCTCCTTAGCAAATTACAGTTCCCATGATTCTTTGGGGGAAGAGCTATGACTGTTTTAAGTGGTACAATACTGTTTTAAATGTAGTCAGGGGGGAGTTGCTACGCAGGCACCAGAATAACTTGGGCTAGGATACGAACTGAGGGCAAATATGAGAATCATGGACTCAGTTATACAGCTGCAAATAAAATGTTTTAAGTGTGTTTTAAGTGCAATATACAATGTGACCCTAGATGGCGTTGGTGAGCCTTATGGAAAATTCAATGTATGTTTAAAGTTGCTTTTTAAAAAAACATTTTCAGAACTTTTTTTATTTGTGTGCAGCTTCCACCCGTATCTCATTGGTTCTTAAAGAGCTGCTGTGGCTTCTCTATTTCTGAGGGCAATTCAGATTTGTCTGCCTTTGAAATCCTGCACTTCTTAGGGCCCTAGGACCCATACCCCTAGTTAGCCCTCAATCCTTTATTGTTTCCATCTGCAATCAATCCATTTATAGGCAGTACAACTCAGAGTAGACCTATCGAAGTTAACACACAAGACTAATTTTTATTCATTAATTCCAATGGGTCTGCTTTGAGTAAGCACTTAGTCAAATGTACTAATGTGGTATCTGCTTTTGATTTGTTAAAACTTGGAATTTATTTAATTTTAATTATGTTTGCTTTTGCTTGACTTGTAAGGCTATGGGCTCTCAACAAAGGGCTAAAGGTAAAGGTAAAGGACACCTGACAGTTAAGTCCAGTCGCCGACGATTCTGGGGTTGCGGTGCTCATCTCACTTTACAGGCTGAGGGAGCCGGCGTTTGTCCGCAGACAGTTTTTCCGGGTCATGTGGCCAGCATGACTAAGCTGTTTCTGGCGAAATGGAACACCAAATCCAGAGCAACGCATGGAAACACTGTTCACCTTCCTGCCAGAGCAGTTCCTATTTATCTACTTGCACTTTTTGGCATGCTTTCAAACTGCTAGGTTGGCAGGAGCTGGGACAGAGCAACGGGAGCTCACCCTGTTGCAGGGATTCAAACCGCGACCTTCTGATTGGCAAGCCCAAGAGGCTCGGTGGTTTAGACCACAGCACCACCTGCACCCCTAACAAAGGGCTAAAGGGACCCCTGACCGTTAGGTCCAGTCACGAACGACTCTGGGGTTGCGGCGCTCATCTCTCGGGAGCTGGTGTACAGCTTCTGGGGCATGTGGCCAGCATAACTAAGCTGCTTCTGGCAAACCAGAGCAGCGCACGGCAACGCCGTTTACCTTCCCACCGGAGCGGTTCCTATTTATCTACTTGCACTTTGACGTGCTTTCGAATTGGCAGGAGCAGGGACCGAGCAACAGGAGCTCACCCCATCGTGGGGATTTGAACCGCCGACCTTCTGATCGGCAAGCCCTAGGCTTTGTGGTTTAGACCACAGCGCCACCTGCGTCCCTTAACAAAGGGCTAGGCCTAAAGAGGAATAGATTTAAAATTATAATGAAGGAATGCCTACTTACGCACTGTGATTAACTTCAGAGGCACCCCTGTGAATACCTCTACCACCTGAGGTGAGGTGATTGAGGGAGAGATCCAGTGATGACTGATCCCTCAGGGCAAATGTGGGACTTTTCCACTGACCTCAGGCTGACCAGCCAGCTCCCACCTGCCTGCCTTCTTACAACCAGTCTTGGTGGGTGGTACTGGCTGTTCAGTTTCCTCCTCCTTAGTCTCAGTGTTGCCTTGGTAGAACTCAACAGGGAAGAGGACAAACCTAGAATGAGTTGGCTCCAGCTTCTGTTGGTCACCCTGGGTCATGAACTGGCTGGACTCAGAGGAATGGTGAGAAACACCAGCCAGAGAACCCACAAGGGAAGAAGGCTCAGAGCCAGGTCATTGGTGTTGGGACAACGACCGATGAGTGGTTAGAGGGAGAAAAGTGAGAAGACTGGGAGGAGGTGTTGGAAGCTAAAGAGGCAACACGGCTTAGTGAGCAGGGAGAGTCTGTGGCAGAGAGAAATCTAGAAGGAGAAGGAGAAGTGGAAGCAGGACAGGAAGGAGGCCAAGGATCGGAGATGAGTCCTGCTGGTCAAGAAGCCAGGGTGTCTCCCCCTCTTGCTGCAACAAGCTCCCTTCCTCTCTGGTTTCCAAGAACCAGAAGTGGTATGAAGAGGGATGAGCAGAGGCGGGCATGTTGACAGAGTCTGAGATTACTTGGGAAGGAGGAGGAGATTTAGGCAGCTGTGGGAAGCAGAGATCTTCAGCCTCTACCTTCAGAACTACTGAGAAGAGATGCTATGCTCTTTAGGCCTGGTTCCCCTGAGCAGGCCTTGTTTCTGCTAATAAAGAGTTAGCTTCACATACTCCGTGTGATTTATTGTTGGCTGGCTCCCTGACACCCTGCTCCACTAGTTCCAATAGGTACAAGCCACCACTGGCCTTCTTTGTTGTGGCCCCCCCATTGGTGGAGCTCTCTTGCTGGGAAGGCTCTCCAGGCTGCATCCAAATATGGTCCCGCTTGTGTATGTGACCTACGAAGAATTATGCACTAGGTTACTGTCCATGCTGAGGTGTTTGAATGTATTTATTTAACTGAATAAAGAATTCTTTGCTCTTTTATGAAAAGCGACGGGGGCGATTTTATTCCTTTTTTTCAGCTCACATACTTAAAAGCTTCTTTCAGGCCTGATCCGGGAAGCAGGGAGACACGGCTGGTGGTCTCGAGTGAAGTCCCAAGTGGATGCTTGTGCACATCTCAAAGCCGCCACATGATCTGGCAGAACTCACCTGGTCTGATACTTTTAGTTAGTGCCAAGGAGTGGATTAGGACTGGTAAACAGCTGGGATTTTGCAGGTCAGGGGAGAAGCAACAGAGGAAACAGCCAAACAGTGCCTCCCTATACTGAACTTCTTAAACTTCCTAACATTAGTAGCCTCTTTCAGAAACTCTGCATACACTCAGGCTGGAGACAGGCACGAGTTTTTAAAGAGAGTATCAAAGGTGGTATACTAGAGGCAAGCATGTCTTGCAGCACTTACAGGTTTTGCAGATGGTCATAATGCTTCAAAAACCTGGGCCGGCCGACAAGGATGATAAGCGGAAGTCTTTCCTGGATCTCAAACAAAGACCTTTCTCATCCTCTGCTGCCTTGCCTAGCTATACATATATATATATATTACATTCAGATTATATCTCACTTTTTTCTCCAAGGAGCTCAAAGGTGGTGTCCATGATTCTCCTCCGCCAGTGTGGTGTAGTGGTTAAGAATGGTGGACTCGTAATCTGGGGAACCGGGTTCGCGTCTCCGCTCCTCCACATGCAGCTGCTGGGTGACCTTGGGCCAGTCACACTTCTCTGAAGTCTCTCAGCCCCACTCACCTCACAGAGTGTTTGTTGTGGGGGAGGAAGGGAAAGGAGAATGTTATCCGCTTTGAGACTCCTTCGGGGAGTCATAAAGCGGGATATCAAATCCAAACTCCTCCTCCTTCTCCTCCTCCTCTTCTTCTTCTTCTAATTCTTCCCCATCAATTAATCCTCACAACAACCTGTGAGGTAGGCTAGGCCAGGCTGAGAGGCAGGGAGGGGCCCAAGATCACTACTTCAGCGTGGTGAACCAGTCTCCCCTAAGTCTTCCTCTGATGACTAATTTCACTTTTCTTCCCTTTCTCATAACACTACTCATAACCTTGTGGTCCCCCAGTGAAGCTGAATGTTGGAAGAAGACCAAGGGCAGATGAGAGAAAGGACTTCTTCCAAGCAGCACATAGCAAACTGGAACTCAAGTCAGGTGAAAACACCCCTTGCATCACCTTCATCATGTAATTCAGAGTGTGCACACAGGCGCTGCGCACCTCTGGTGCGGAGAAGGTGACCAGATAACAATTTTTTCTTCCTCTCTCATAATACTAGAACTCATGGACATCCAGAAGAGCTAAATGTTTGAAGATTCAGGACAGGTCAAAGATAGTACTTTTTCACGCGGTGCGTAGATAGACCCTGGAACTCTCTGCCACAAGAGGCCATGATGGCCACCAACGTAAAGGTAAAGGGACCCCTGACCATTAGGGCCAGTCGTGGCCGACTCTGGGGTTGCGGTGCTCATCTCGCTTTACTGGCCGAGGGAGCTGGCGTACAGCTTCCGAGTCATGTGGCCAGCATGACAAAGCCGCTTCTGGAGAACCAGAGCAGCGCACGGAAACGCCGTTTACCTTCCCGCCAGAGCGGTACCTATTTAACTACTTGCACTTTGACGTGCTTTAGAACTGCTAGGTTGACAGAAGCTGGGAGCTCACCCCGTCGCGGGGATTCGAACCGCCGACCTTCGGATCAACAAGTTGTAGGCTCTGTGGTTTAACCCACAACGCCACTCGTGTCCAACTTGGGAGGCTTTGATTGAGACAGATCATGGAGGAGAGGGATGTCAGCAGCTATTAGCCATGATGACTATGGGGAGAGTGCTTGAGACCAGCTTGCGGGTTTCCCATAGGCATCTTGGCGGCCACTGAGAGAACAGGATGCTGGTCCGGCCTGATCCGTCAGCCTGATCCAGCAAGCTCTTATGTCCTTAGTTTTGTTCCCTACCCTACTAAATTGTACAGGGGCAACCGTGAGAATCCAACACAATAACCACACCAGTCCTTCTTAGCCATCTGTGGTTTGCAGACTGGGAACGGTCAAACTAACCACGCAAACTCATCAGGTTGTTTTTTTTAAGACCCTTTTTGCTTGCTTCAAGGAGCATTCGATTGGGGTTGTTTCAAATTAGACCAAGAACTCTCTGTGAACCCAGTACTATTCCTCCAGTTAGGATAACTTGGTGTGTTTTTACCTCCCTAATTTTATTGGAATCGGCATAAAGAGGACACTCAAGTTGCTTCGTGCAAGAGACATTCTGCCTATTAAAACCAGGTTATCATAAATCAGCATGTGCTACTGAAGCTAAGTCGCCAAACACGTTGAAACTCAAAGAATCCATTCAGAGCTGTGTCCTTGCAGAGCCGTGGCAATATATGCTTCCCAGGACCTTGTTTACTGGTGAATTCCATTTCCCCAGATGTGTGCGAGTTTCGAGGATATGAAATTCTGAACAGGGGGGATGGAGAATAATAACTTGTTTGTCCAATCTGCGGAGGGCTGCTCAGTGAGATCAGGCTGAGACATTTGGCCTGATGAGTTGAAGGGGTCCATTGCTGTCTGCGCATCTCTAAGCAAATAGCTTAGGACATTAATGGAAAAATTTCACCGTAAATTCTGCCCTCCAGCATCTCCTTTGGCTCTCGGGAACTCAAAGGGAAATGAAAATTAGCACATCCTGGTAAACATCTCCTGAGCGGTCATTTAGTTCTGGACAGGTATCACATCACAGTGTGCACAACCCACCATGAGCACAAATAATAGCAAGGGACAAGTCTAGTCTTCTGTTTATGCTAGAGATTGGCTAGTTTTTGTCAGGATTCTGGAAGAATCCAGAAAGCATGGTTTATTTGGTGGCTTCACGGCCTGTTCCAGCAATATAGCTCAGTTGGTTAGAGCGTGGTGCTGATGACACCGAGGTTGCAGATTTGATCCATGTATGGGGGCAACTGCATGTTTCTGCTTTGCAGGGGGTTGGACTCGATGATCCTCAGGGCCCCTTCCAACTTTACAATTATATTATTGGCCCCATATTGCGAACTTTATATGCATCTTGCTGCAGTGCTGCCTGCTGTCCCAATAAGTTCACTGCTTTGTGTGCATTCCCCGTTGAAGTGAATGGGAAGGAATGTTGTGGCACATCGAAGCACACTATGGGGGATCTGGATTGGGCGAATGAACATGCCTGAAATCATGATGGTGATTATGATGAGAAAAGAGATCCTGTACATAATTAACAGCTACTCTTGGAGGATATATGGAGGCCTAGAAGTTGGTTATCCACCCTCCCTTAGGGAGCTCAACTCCTGCTGAGATTGTCCAAGTGTCTATCTTCATCAACACAATTAAAAAATTCTCCTGCACTAACAAGGGCCTGTCCCCAAGAGGAAGCTATTTAGCAGCCTGGTAATTTTAGCGACGACCTTGTGTTGATTACAAGTTGCTATATTAGTAAATCCTTTCTGAAAGGCAGCTGTTGTTTTGGCATTAACTCCTTGACTCCTAATCAGCTGTTTGTTTACTAAATCCCAAGGCAATTAAAAAAAGGATCCCTGTGTCAAGACTACGCTGGTCTGGTTGGTGAATGCTTCCACAACAGAGGTATATTCATGAGAAATCTTATAAGGGAGAAGGCGGTTAGACCCGATCCAGAAAGTTGTAAGTGGCAAGGGAATGGCAGTCAATGTGCAATTCCTTTGCTTATAAGCAGAAATTCTGTAGATAGGTCTGTGTTGGGACCCATATGGGAATTTGTAGGATTCCCATATGCCCTCTTCAGTAGTGACGCAAGAAGATTTAAAATATGTGCAGAAAAATAATATAATGGACCCTATAAATAGTAGTATACCCAGTCCTGTTTATCAAGAAAAAGGGGTGCCAAAGCTCACCATGAATGCCTCCCTTGTGCTCTTAAAATGGCAACGGTGCACACCTGAGAGGTGCCTTAACTGAATTTTGGCAGGTTCTGGCTGAAAAATAAAAAGCCCTGAGTATATCTTCAACATCTCTCCAAAGCTTTTTTGATGGCCTTTTAATGGTTGCCCCTCTTGATTTCCTGTTGTAAAATATATAAAGTGTGGTTACAATTCACACACTGAAGTAAAGTTGCCAACCAATCCGAAACATAGACTTCCCAGTGACGGCAACTTCCTCTCGCTCTCAGCTTTGAGGAAAGTTGCCTCAAATAAAGCAAGGGGCAAGGTCATTTTTTCCTCTACGTATTTCCCTGAACCCCTCCCCCCCCCCCGGCAAGCTGCACACATTAGGTGAATAGACAGCTATGTGCTCAGAATTGTCAGAAACCACTGGTTTCACCACTGGGTCTACAAATAAAGAGAGAAGACTACAAAGGATAGGCTTTGCCCTTGGGCCTTCCAAATTACGTTCCTGCCAGGTGTTGCCCAAACCATGAGACCTTCTTCTCCACAGCTATCATGGTTACATAGAATCATAGAATCATAGAGTTGGAAGAGACCACAAGGGCCATCGAGTCCAACCCCCTGCCAAGCAGGAAACACCATCAGAGCACTCCTGACATATGGTTGTCAAGCCTCTGCTTAAAGACCTCCAAAGAAGGAGACTCCACCACACTCCTTGGCAGCAAATTCCACTGTCCAACAGCTCTTACTGTCAGGAAGTTCTTCCTAATGTTTAGGTGGAATCTTCTTTCTTGTAGTTTGGATCCATTGCTCCGTGTCCGCTTGTCTGGAGCAGCAGAAAACAACCTTTCTCCCTCCTCTATGTGACATCCTTTTATATATTTGAACATGGCTATCATATCACCCCTTAACCTCCTCTTCTCCAGGCTAAAGATGCCCAGCTCCCTTAGCCGTTCCTCATAAGGCATCGTTTCCAGGCCTTTGACCATTTTGGTTGCCCTCCTCTGGACACGTTCCAGTTTGTCAGTGTCCTTCTTGAACTGTGGTGCCCAGAACTGGACACAGTACTCCAGGTGAGGTCTGACCAGAGCAGAATACAGTGGCACTATTACTTCCCTTGATCTAGATGCTATACTCCTATTGATGCAGCCCAGAATTGCATTCATAGCTTTGGACCTGCTCCATACTTCATCCCTCGGATACAAGTGGTTCTGCCCAGAGGCACTGGCCACTTCCAAGAAGATTTGGGACCCAGAACGGCAAAACAGCAACCGTAATCTTAGAGTGCTAAACAGCAGAGCAGGTGCATAAATCTGCCTCCTTTTCTGGTCCACCTGAGGCCAAGGTCTCAGTGTGCCTAACTAGCTGGTAGGCCCTGTGGAAACTGGACACTGAACCAGAGCTCAAATGTCCTGATGTGGCAAAGGCATAAGGCCACAATGGCTCCTCTCTCCTGACCCCTTCCTTAATCACTGTGGATTCCACGACACTAGCTGAAATTCCCTCTTGTACAAAATGATTTAAGGTGCCCTTCTGTTCTGGTAGGCCACTCTAGCACGAACAACATCCTCCTTGTCTTCTGCTCCACTGAAATATTTGCAACACAATCCAATGCATGTTTACTTGGAAGTAGGTTGTGTATAGGACTGAAATGTTAAGATCTATCTAGTGTCTTGGTTGCAAGTGACAACCCTTTGGAAGGCTTTGGCAGTATTGGGGGGGTGCTATGTTGTTCTTTCTTACTTTCCTATATTGGACAAAAGCTGAGCCCAGATTGCTTGGGAACTCCAGTTTGGCCACTCTATTGCTGTCACTTTTTTAAAACCTCAGAGGCATCTTTAGCCTCATAATCTGAGGCACACCACCATTTTTGCTCTTTGACGGCCACCCAAAAAGCAAGGCAACAGGGTGGGATTCAAACAGCAGAGTCTTCTAGGTGCAACGCTCAACATATTATCTTCTGGACCACCCTGGCAACGATGTTTATGATGCAAGTGTATGATTACATTAAATATATAACTCCAAATGTATACATCTCTTGTGAGAAATACAACTTTCCATAGCCTGATTTATGTCTATTTACAGTGGTTGCATCTGCACTTTTGCACTTCTCTCCAGCGTTGCTGATTGTGGGTTGTTGTTTTTTTTCAAACCCTGAGGATTGTCGCTAAGTCATTACTCAGCGCAGACCCACTGAAATGTAATGAGCAGGAGTAACTTAAGGCCATTGATTTCATTGGGTCGATTCTGAGTATGACTTACCTAATGACATCCCTAAAAGACATATAGCTGAAGTTGGAGGCTAACTCAGGGGCCTTCCAGGCATCCTACTAATTGAGCAGAGGTTAGATTATATTTTTGCAAGCCACCCCAATCTCCGAGTGTTGCAAGATTCCAGAGGTTACAGGCACTTACTCAGAGTTTTGGTTTCCTCAGAATGATGGACAATGGAGACTGTGGTGTCTTTATGAGATATGGTTTGTTTACACACATATATAACCTGAGCCTATGATGGAGGGGCTCACAGCATTAAGGTCTTGTTTCTCCAATAGCCCCACAGCCTTGGATTCAAACAGAAATCAAGCATGTCTCTCCTTCACAGGCTTCTGCGTGTCTCCTGCTGCTCCTAGGTCACACACACAACACAGCGCTGGCTTTTGTTCTTCTAAGTGATAGCCAGTTGAGGGAAGGGGGCCCACCCATTAGCCTTCTGGCATGGAGCCACTTCCTTAAGGACCCATGTTGTTGTTGTTTAGTCCTTTAGTCGTGTCCGGCTCTTCGTGACCCCATGGATCAGAGCACGCCAGGCACTCCTGTCTTCCGCTGCCTCCCGCAGTTTGGTCAAACTCATGCTGGTAGCTTCGAGAACACTGTCCAACCATCTCGTCCTCTGTCGTCCCCTTCTCCTTGTGCCCTTAATCTTTCCCAACATCAGGGTCTTTTCCAGGGAGTCTTCTCTTCTCATGAGGTGGCCAAAGTATTGGAGCCTCAGCTAATAATAATAATAATAATAATAATAATAATAATAATAATTTATTATTTATACCCCCCCATCTGGCTGGGCTTCCCCAGCCACTCTGGGCGGCTTCAGGATCTGTCCTTCCAGTGAGCACTCAGGGCTGATTTCCTTAAGAATGGATAGGTTTGATCTTCTTGCAGTCCATGGGACTCTCAAGAGTCTCCTCCAGCACCATAATTCAAAAGCATCTATTCTTCGGCGATCAGCCTTCTTTATGGTCCTGCTCTCACTTCCATACATCACTACTGGGAAAACCATAGCTTTAACTATATGGGACCTTTGTTGGCAAGGTGATGTCTCTGCTTTTTAAGATGCTGTCTAGGTTTGTCATTGCTTTCCTCCCAAGAAGTAGGCGTCTTTTAATTTCGTAATTGCTGTCACCATCTGCAGTGATTATGGAGCCCAAGAAAGTAAAATCTCTCACTGCCTCCATTTCTTCCCCTTCTATTCTTCCCCTTCTATTCTAAGGACCCATACTTAGGCCATTACTTAGGCCTGGCTAGTCCAACAATTGAACCCTTCCTGGATCCAGGAATTAAGAGGTACCTGGGCCCATGCAAACTCACAACACTATCCAGTCTTTACTGAGCACTCATCCTGATTTGTTTGCAGGGTTATATGGCAAAGAATGAGGATTCGTCCTGTATTCATCCCTGATTTTCTTGTGGGGTGTTATGCGCCTTCCGGTTAGTCATTCAAGACAATCCCCATCGCTTTCCAAACTGGAAAAAAGTCCAATTCTTCTTTTTTAAAGTGGATTTCCTGCACTAGGGAGACGGAGCCCTTTAATTCAGTTTACCTGTGCAAACCCAACGTTCTTGCTTGAATCCCACAAAATAGTGATAAACAGGAGGCGTCCTCTGAGTCAGTCTTGAAGGATTACCTCACTTTACTCAGATAATGCACCACAAAAGGCCTCAGAATGGGAGTCCCCTTACATAGTATGGACATCTTCAGTATAGTGTAATGGAAAGCCTAACTCCAGAAGTGCCAGGTCCAGAATACTTTGTCAGGTTTAAAGGGTGTTTCCAGAGAGTGTTCCCAGCTTCTCTACTAGCCCTACAGCACCCTGGCTAGTTCCAGAACCTGCCCACATGACACACATGTCAGATGACTAATATATGCATGTGTCATATGATGCCTATGCAAGTCATCAGTCAGCTCACAGGGTTGCATCATGACTGTGCAAAAGGCCTTGGACTATTCCAGGGGATCAGTTTACAGTGCAAGGAATGTTTGGTTGTTGTTAGTCATTTCTTCTTGCAGGAGAATTCAGACTTTTCCTTCAGGTAGCGCTTCAATCTGGACTTGGACCAGAGAGAAGTGGGTCCAGATTTCCGGCAGACATGGCAGGAGAAGACTTCCAGGAATGCTGGAGAGCTGCTGTCAGTCTGTGTAGAAGACAGTAAAGCTGAATTTATAAAATCTGCTCTTTCCAAAATCATATGAGAACCGAAACACAGCTTATTCTTCCATCAAAATTGCACATGTCTGAATTTTGCAATGCAGTTCTCCAAACAAGGAATGTTTACAAAGATGTATATGTTAGGGGGAAATGTGCATTTAAAAATCAGTGAAAAGAACAGACAAAATGTATTATATTATGAGAAATTGCTAGCAAAAATGTATACATTATTCAAACCTTTTTACTGTTAGATGTTTCACTGTGTTTTGTTATATTCTGTTTTTTATATTCTGTTGGAAGCCACCTAGATGTCAGGGTATTACTATTATTATTATTATTTATTATTAAAAATGTGTTTCTGAGGAGAAATTCACACTAACATGCTGAAGAATTTACATGGAGTTAGTGTGTGGAGATACTGCTTTTAAGCTTCTACGTGGCATATCTGATCCCCCATGTAGGTAAAAAGTAAAGGACCCCTGGACAGTTCAGTCCAAGGCGACTATGGTGTTGCGGCGCTCATCTCGCTTTCAGGCTGAGGGAGCCAGCGTTTGTCCACAGACAGCTTTCCAGGTCATGTGGCCAGCATGACTAAACCGCTGCTGACGCAATGGGACTCCGTGACGAGTGCCAGAGCGCACGGAAATGTTGTTTACCTTCCTGCCCCAGCGGTACCTATTTATCTACTTGCACTGGCATGCTTTCGAACTGCTAGGTTGGCAGGAGCTGGGACAGAGCGACGGGAGCTCACCCTGTTGCGCGGACTCGAACTGCCAACCTTCTGATTGGCAAGCCCAGGAAGCTCAGTGGTTTAGACCACAGCACCACCCAATATCAATGTGCCTCATAGCCACAGACATAACTTTTATATCACCTACATCATTTCAAGCCCAATACTTTTCAATGAACTGAATATACACATTTAGCTTCAAGTCATTATTTGGCTATGCAAGCCAAATGTCTGTATGAACCAGATAGAGCTCCTAAGTCTACACACAGGATAACTCAGTTGGTTAAGAGTGTGGTGCTGATAATGCCAAGGTTGCAGGTTCGATCCCCAAAAGGTACAACTACATATTCCTGCATTGCAGGGGGTTGGACTAGATGATCCACAGGGGCCCTTCCAACTTTACAGTTCTTTGATTCTAACCTTGTTTTCTTTGGTATTCTTTTTGGACTTCATAAGATTCCAGCAATGGACATCTAACGGTCTTCAAGTATGACATGAGATGATGGCAAATGTGTCTCTACATCGTTGAGCACCTCTTCGCTACAGTGTGGTGTAGTGGTTAAGAGCGGTGGACTTGTAATCTGGTGATCCAGGTTCACGTCTCTGCTCCTTCACATGCAGCTAGTCACACTTCTCTGAAGTCTCTCAGCCTCACTCACCTCACAGAGTGTTTGTTGTGGGGGGAGAAGGGAAAGGAGATTGTTAGCTGGTTTGAGACTCCTTAGGGTAGTGATAAAGCGGGATATCAAATCCAAACTCCTCCTCCTCCTCCTCCTCCTCCTCCTCCTCCTCCTCCTCTTCTTCTTCTTCTTTGCAGAAGTTGAATCCAGGGTGGCTTCCAGCCCATTGATTTAACAGTAGAGATGCAAACCTCTTATGAACAGTAGCATTTTTAAAGGGTGGGATTTAACCTTTCAAATATGTGCCTCCAATGTAACACAATGCGAATGAAGAAGAGTAATGATTTGATTTTGAAAGAAACCATATTGCAGGTAAAATATTTATTTCAAAATGAGTCACTTCCTCCTCCTCCAGCTCTACCGCCTTTCTAATGAATGAATATGTACTTAGCATGAATGAATGAATATGTATTTTGCTGTGCAAAACAGGCTCAGAAACACAGTTCCTTCCCAAAGGTCTTGAAGAAAATTAACAAATAGGAGGAAGGGGGTCAGAGGTCAGGGGCTGAGGAGTCCTATCTATGTCAAAGACCTCTTCAGCATCCAACATCTGAAACATACAAAGCCTCAAGACATAAGCTTTTTATTTTTTAATGGAAAAGCGAAATAGCAAAACACAACTACCCTCCTTCATTCATTGCGCTCAGCGCTAGACACTGCAACCTTTGATAAGCACCCGGGGGGTAATTATCTGCCATACAAAGGCTGTTGTTGTATATCTTTGGATTTTCCCTCCAAACACAATCTGAGAAGCAACGGGAGAAAGAGGGCTGCTGCAGAATTAGCCAGAGGTCTCCCTCTCGCACAGACGGAACACTGTTGTGTTTTACGTGGCGCTGAGAAGCGTGGAAGTCATTTGACCTACCAAACAGCAAGAACTTTTGATTCATGGCCTAATTGTCACTGGAGTTTTTGTCATGCTATTTAGAGTCGATCGTTCCTCAGACTCTGCAAGAAATGGGGCTCATGTTTCCCCCCTGTGTCTGCTTCCGTGTCAGAAGCTCCACAGTCCACACAGCAATCAGGAAGCTGTTCACTTTCCTTCCTTCATGAATATACCTTGCCTGTCCTGTATGTAAGAAAAGCTTACATTCGTGGCTATAGGAACTGTGGCAGAGATCTATACCTTCTCCCCAAGCTCTATCTCCCCCATCAGCATTACAAATAGGATAGTCACTTACCCAAAAAGGGTATGAAGAGGAGAGACACAGATTTGCATGATGTTTACACATGCTACTTTATGTATGGAAGTCACAATGCAGGAAGGATTGCTATAATTTACAGTGGTACCTTGGTTCTTGAACTTAATCCGTTCTGGGAGTCCATTCGACTTCTGAAACCATTCAAAAACCAAGGCGCCGCTTCTAATTGAGCTTCCTGCACTCAATCGGAAGCCGTGGTGAACGTTTGGCTTCCGAAAAACATTCACAAACCGGAACACTCACTTCCGGGTTTGTGGCTTTCGGGAGCTGATTTGTTTGAGAGCCAAGCCATTCAACTACCAAGGTACCACTGTAATATAAACAGTGAAAGCTGGAGGGTTTGGCTCCTCTGGGCCTAAGATTCTCTACATAAAATATAGAGATGGAAGAAACTCCAAGGATCATCCAGTCCAACCTCCTGCAATGCAGGACTCTCAGCTAAAACGTCCATGACAGATGGCCATCCATAATTAATCTTGAAAGGCATGCTGTTAATTAAAGAGCCACTTTTCATGTATACCTGCTGCTCTTGACTCTCCCTGCCAGCATGAAGCACTGTGGTGAGTCGGCAAGAGCACCCAGTTGAGCCCAGTGTGTAAAAATAGCTCTGCCACATATTGGCTTAATGGACCATCTTGTAAACTGAAGCATTCCGACTTCATACAGACTTGCCACTTCCAGCCCACAGGCGATCAAGCCTCGTTCCCCTGGAAAAGGATGGGTTTTGTTTAAAAATGCACTTGCCCTCTGCTGAAGCTATAGTCATATTTTCCACTAACGGTGATTAACTGCAGAGCTCTATGTGATGGCATCTGCTTTAAATAAAGCCGAGAGACAAGCTGATGTAATATTCTCTAAGGCTGATTTGTGTCTGTCTTCTGCTTTTTATTACACACACACACACACACACACACACACAGAAAGAGAGAGAGAGAGAGAGAGTTCTATTAGTTCAAGCTGCCTTTTAAATTTCCTAGCTGAAATTCTTCCCTAAGCACCGGAAGAAGGCCTGTGCTTTGTTTAGTACACCTTAGGCAGTAATCCTGTGCTTGCTTACCTGGGAGTAAGCCCCACTGAATGCAGTGGGACTTACTTCTGAGTAAACGCATGCGGGAGGATTGTGCCTCAAACAGATGCTTTGAACTAGGTGAGGGAGTCAGGGAAATAGAGATTCATTCATTCATTTATGTCAGGGCCTGCCTTACTATGAAGCCATGTGAAGGGTGGGCTTGGGGGCAGCAGATTCCAAGAGGAAACGCCACACCTTTTTCCTGTCTCCGATCCATTTCTCCATGTGTGTGCCATTAAAAACAAAAAGGAACTCCAGTCCGCAGCAAGGGGAGGGGTATCGTTTTGACTTTTCATTTCAGGTACAAAATATGTTTTCAAGCCAGCATAGTTTAAAGTCTACTGTGGGTAGAAATCCTTTCACCTGATACTTTCTCCTCCTCTAGGAGGCTTTCAGTTAATTGAGATGCTTTCGTTGTTGTTGTTCTTTAGTCGTTTAGTCGTGACCCCATGGACCAGAGCACGCCAGACACTCCTGTCTTCCACTGCCTCCCGCAGTTTGGTCAAACTCATGCTGGTAGCTTCGAGAACACTGTCCAACCATCTCGTCCTCTGTCGTCCCCTTCTCCTTGTGCCCTCAATCTTTCCCAACATCAGGGTCTTTTCCATGGAGTCTTCTCTTCTCATGAGGTGGCCAAAGTATTGTAGCCTCAGCTTCAGGATCTGTCCTTCCAGTGAGCACTCAGGGCTGATTTCCTTAAGAATGGATGCGTTTGATCTTCTTGCAGTCCATGGGACTCTCAAGAGTCTCCTCCAGCACCAGAATTCAAAAGCATCTATTCTTCGGCGATCAACCTTCTTTATGGTCCAGCTCTCACTTCCATACATCACTACTGGGAAAACCATGGCTTTAACTATACGGACCTTTGTTGGCAAGCTGATGTCTCTGCTTTTTAAGATGCTGTCTAGGTTTGAGATGCTAGCAGAGATCGGACTTCCGGGGTGGTGCCATCGGCAATGGCGGACTCCCTCTGAACCGGAGGGACTAGCTCCGCGCAAAACGGGTCTTCTCCGCTACGGCGAAGCGGGGACCCTTTTAAAAATCACAGGCGGATGAAGCCTGTGACCATGGGACTTGGCGGGCACCTTTAGCGCCCCCCCCAACTCGCAAAGGAACCCACTGACGGGCTCCGAAGTGAAGAAGGGGAAGTGGCGCGGTGCTGTGAGTCAACTGCTATTTCCGTGGAGCAAAGCCGCATAGCCGTTGCCGGAGAGCGCTGCCTTTTTCCTGGGACAATTTGGACTCTAAAATAAGCACCCGTGAGTACTTAAACTTTGAACAACTGGACCTTAAATAAGGACTTGCGAGCAGAAAGGAATTGGATTTAAAAATTTATTTCAATTTGGTACTGAACGGGAAGGTCTAAACAGGAAGTCAGCCTTCCATTCTTTTGTAGACAGAATAAAGCAAAGACAACGTAAACTAGAGCTCAGAAAATCGCCTTTAAAGGATTGAATTTCATCATTTAAAATTGTGGAACCCCCCTTCGACAGCAGGAGAAGAAGGGGGATCTTTTTCGGACTGTTTAAAGTGAGTGTAAAGTAAAGTAACTTTCCACCGTCCTGATCCTGGAGAGGGGTGTCAGGACTGACGTTTGAAGCTCATTGACCAGAGACAAACGTTTTTGACAGATAGCTAAAAGAAGAGAAACATAGTGATTCCACTATTTCCCTTCGCATTTTAAAGGAACAAATATTGACAAAATATCTCAAAAAGGAAAACTTTGTTGCAAGAACAAATAGAAGTTTCCCCCCTAGAGGGAGACTGTGAAACTGTAACCAATTCCAGGGAGCCGGCAGCTGTTACAGATTACAATCGTGGGAATAGACATTCGACCTTGCAGGACAATGTATTCAGAAGCTCTGTTGTGCGCTTTCTATAAAACAAATGCCCTACTGGAACAGTTACATGAGAAGATGAATTTGATGGCGAATTTGACTAGAAATTTTGAACAGGCAGTGGGAAATTTTGAACAGACAGTGGGAAAATATGTGGAGCCCACCCAGGAATTAAATCAGTAGTGTGTCCTGACAGAACAGGCCCAACAGGAATATGAGCTTTCGGATTTGACAAATGAACTTGGAAAAAGCCAGATTTGGAAAGAAAAAGTTTGGTTTGGCTTGGAAATGGGGGGCTGGATTGACCCCCCTATGCTGGGATGTTTGGACTTTTCAAATCTGGCAATGGGCCGTGAGATGTTTGGGATTGCGGGGGGCTCTTAATTTTGGAGGGTTTTTGAAACATGTTTTTAAATACCACATGGAATTTAGTGTTGAATATGGAAAAGGGGCTGATCTGTCGAGAAGGGTCAAAAATATTGCCAAGCTGGAGTTACCACGAGCAGGAGACAAGGGAAAATACAGTTACAAATATGAAGAAGAGCTGCGG